ATCTCTTAATAATAAGTAATAAAAGTATGACTGATAGTCTCTTTTCATTAATCTTGAGCCTTGTAAGTAATGATACTTAACTTAATCTGAAGTTAAAGTAAATGATTCATCCTTACCATAGGCGATGGGCGAGGATACATTTGCTTATCGAGAAAATAGTATGCACCGCGTAAAATCATAAGTGTTATATTGTAAATAATGATCTCGAATAGAACAAAATTAATTCAAGGAATTTTCCATGGATTTATCATAAAAAAAACAATAAGATTAATTTTATTGAAGTGGCAAAAATAAAATTTAACTTATTCTAAAGGTCAATTCCTGCTCATGACTTATTGGTAATAATCAAGCTTGACGCTTAATCATTCAGATTAGAAGACAAGTGTGAAAATTAGTTCCATATATAATAAACAGAAAGACGTTTGTAGAATATTCTGTAATTTCATCTTTTAACAATAGCAATTGATTGTACATCTATTAGAAGTTCAATTCGACATAATCTTCTGTGAACTATATAGATCAATGATTCAATCGGTCGAAATTCTCGGCATGTATATTGTAGAATTCGAATGCTTCCACTTTCGTCAATTCTCAACTTATCAAGATCTTCGTCAATAGAAACAGCATTGTCTTTGCGTCTCATCGATCGAAAGAAAACAAAATGGTTTCAACAACTCTACAAGCTTCTTTTTATCATCAACATAAGCAATATGCTGATTGACGATAAAAACTGCAAAGAGCAAATTGAATGAGGAACATAGTTATGAATTAAAAATTACGAGAAAAATTTGAAACTACTTATCTTGATCAATTTTGGTCAACAAAAATGTTTTCAGGAAACAAAAGTCATTTGAGAATTTTTAGAAAGTATTCCAAAACGGTACAACAAATGGCTCAGAATTTCAATTCGATAAATTTCTATCGAGACAGTTTTTGAAAATTCTAAACAGTTTCTGGGAAAATTTTGACAATTGTTTGACTTCGAGATTCACTTCCGAAAGTTTAGTGAAACATCTTGGATACATTTGGAGATCTTTGTAAACTTGGACGAAAATTTCAAAGATGATTGTACTGAAATGATCTCATTGAATAGATAACATTGAACTCGACATGGCTTTTTGTATTTTAGATTTTAATGCAAATGGATTTTCCTCAACATCTCTACTAATCAGTCGACAAATTTTCATATTAAAAAATGATGTTGCTATGTTAGTGAAATGTTCAATAATGGCTTGTTCATCAAACAGAAAAATGATACTTTTCTTATTAATCATGAAAAATTGTTTGACTTGACTGTCCTCCGTTCCTCATGTCATATAAATGGATTTGCAGCATACATGATCACTTGACAAATATGAGCATGACACCGATTGCTGACAAAATTTCATGTGTATACTAGATTACATTTTCTTTGACCAGCTTATTACAAATAATGTTCGATATTCATTTGAAAATGTCTAACTTCAACTGCACTCGGATGGATACAGGTTATACAGTTAGGAAAGGTCGCATAGAATGAATATGTATAACACTTCTGGCAACTGTCGCTAACCCGCCACTGTTCTTAATCAAACTTCGAATGTTAACCTTTTTCTCTCACTATTGTCGCTTCTCTACAACATCTGAATCCATATTTTCATTAAATGTTGATAGCAATCACCTTGCGGTATATGTTTAGACTTTTACTAAGAAAAAATTTTTATCATCATGACATTATTGAGCCATTTCGAGTTTCATTGTAATCATTGTAGTCTATTGTCGACTAAACAGTCTAAAATGTTTCATCATGCAGTGATGAATCATTAATTTAATTTTCGTTTGGGTGTCTCTTCTCATTATATCAAATTTAATCAAACATAACGATTTTTATTTACTATGTAAATAAAACAATCTAACAATCTTCTTGCTTTTCAATGAATCCATCTTTTGTTCGGCTTTTTGTTAGAGAAACATGCGAAAGTGACTATTTTCATTCAATCAGCGGATGATCTACGAATGATCATTCCGTTCAGTGACAAAAATACTCCAAAATCTATCGTTTCTTATACTTTGACAGCTGGACCATCAGAAAGTAGGACTACACTGTGTATTCGATGAAATAAAAAAGTAGTAAGATGGCACACAAAGTGAAGCACTTCTCTTCGAAAAACAAAAAAAACATCATTATAAGGTGTTTCCTGCTATACCGTAGTTTGACTATAATGCTACCATTTCTAAAAGAAATTCAAAATATTTTTTCACTTGAATTATCTGTGAAAAGCACTCTACAAACTCTGATAGAAAAGAAAAATTTCTGAATACTTTACATCTTTCTCGGTTCGCCATCCATGGATCTACCCATACATATATGTAGATATATGACAGTAGATATGATAATTCAGTGAATCTTGAAATGCTCTAAATAATTAAACAAATTTTCTAAGAAAAAAGCTTGAAGTTTTGTTAGAATTGTTTGGACTTCTTAATGATGACAGGTATATGGATGGTGTTGAAAGCATGCAATAAAAAAACTGAACTTTTTATATATTTTTACTTTCATTTTGAGTGTTCATCAGAATTTATAAGAAAAAACCTAGCTTTAATAAAATCAATCATAATAACAAATTTTGAGTAGCATTATCATGGGAAGGTCGATAGTTAATGTGCAACACTTTAATTGAATTGCAACATCTGATCATATTACAATAATCAAAATGCTTGAATTAGTTTAAAAGTGAAATTCAATGCATCCATATGCAAGCTTATTACTTGGCTACCACGATGTGCGCGATAAGAACGTATGAAATCGAAACCCTTACCACGATAGTGATTGTGAATAAAGTAAAAAATGTGCATCTTTCATCATTTCTTTAGTTTGAATTACTACGTACACCGATCTATTCGTTACAATGTCGATGTTAGTTTATCTTGCCACAGTCGTACTAGCTCTAAACAGTCTTGTTGCAGTGGAATCGGCTGAAACCAATCGGACATACTTGATCAAGAAAGATTTCCTTAGTGGACTTAAAGGAGGCGAATTCACAATCTATGATACCACCGGAAAGAAGCAGCAATATCGTATGGAAACGAAGTTCCGCCTGACACACGATGTTCGATTATTTTCTGGTGCGTCGAAAAAAGATATTTTGGCGAAGTTGAAAGCCAAGGTGACAGTGGCGATGTACAAAGCGATCATTGCAATTCTGGAAGCTAAACCAAATCAGTGGAAGAATGGAACCATTGAACAAAATTTCAAGATTGTCGGAAATAAATTCGTAATCAATTGGGGTGGACGACGTGTATCGATGGAAGGCAAGCCATTTTCATTGGATACGACATTCCGTGATGAAGCAGACGGAGCTGTATTGGCTCAGTTTCGCAAACGTGTTAGCTCATTATTCTGGAGAAACAAATACGATTTACAAATACTCTCCGACAGATTACCTGAAGCGATCTACTTCCTGGGTGTTGCAGCCAGAGATCACAGCAACGCGAAGATTCATAGGGGTTAAATTTTATTTTATTCGGCTTGCTTTTACTTAGATTCATAGATTTCTATTAGTTCTTCAATAAATTCACGCCATTTTCTTTTTTTGGATCATTGACACAGTTAATAATCAATGCCATCGTGTTATTCATGCTTTTCACATAGAGCGTGGGTGTGGGGTGTGGGTAAAGTGGTAAAATGTCAAAAGAAAAATGTCGAAAAGCAGGATGCAGAAAAATACGATAGTAAAAATTGAATCATCTATTTTATTTATAGATATTTAGCCGAAAAATAAGAACAAGTTTCAAACTATCAAGAAAATGAAGGAAACAAATTTTATAGAGATAATAAATCAAGATAAAAAAATCTATATGAAGACTAACAGTATTCCAAGAAAATAAAAAAAGATATCGTCAGTCATAATGTAAAATTGAAAAGCTATTTAGTTCAGTTGTGAAGTTTTTTGTTTTATCTTTTGCAACGATCATTGAAAGACCTTCAATGTATCCATTCAGATCAATTTCATTATTAGCAAAATGAGCAGCTAAGACTTCGAGGCATTCTTGAATGATGCACGTTCTTTTCGACTTTTTCTTGAGCAAACCACTTTAGCATGGAGAAGTTGTTGTTGGACATGGATCTCTTCTCTCTTGAGTGCATCAATAACATGACATATGTTAGGATGCATCTTATCAACACTATGATTGAATCGGTTATGCCAGCCCAAAACAGAGTAGAATGGAATCATAAAAAAGATAGAAGTAAGATCTCGCCTTCGCAGTTGTTAGTAGTGCACGTTTTTAAATCAGAAACGTTCCATAAAGGCATAGATATTTGTTTCATCCAATAATTATCGAAATAGTCGAAAAGTGGTATAAGAACGTCTGGACGTTGTTAAACAAGTTCTTGAAATGCTAATGCCACTTCATTTTGTGGAAGAAGAGGTAAAGCCATCAGACGTTGACAAATGTTGCGAACATTTAGATCATCTTTGTATGTAATACAAAGACCAAGTTCCTGAATCTTTCTGTAAATGGCTTGGCAGAAGTGAAAAAACATCCGGTGTGACGAACACCAGAAAACTAGAAACTAAATGATGAGCTAATAATATCTTTAAGAAATTGCGTACCTGCTCTCGTAATGGTTTCACAGATGAGTTTTCAAAATCTGTCGTAATTTTATTAGGTACAAACTGCATTTGAAGGCGCTCGGCCTCTTCTTCTAGTTGTTTAAACAATTCTTTGTAGACTGAACCAGAGCGGCCAGTAAGAAGTGCGAAGGCGCATGGAAAACCTTTAGATTATTCATTAGAATGCAAAAAAATGCAAGGTATCATTCACTCACTCTGTTCGTATTTAATAGCGTGAAGTGTTTATATTTGATCGAAGAATGCTGGGCATGATGAAAATGTGCCATCCATTAATATGTGTTTTGCTTTAAAAAGTATACGCAGCTGATCATCATAAGCAAATATAATGATTCTTTTATTTCGCCACATTTTATCATAAAGTAAAAAGCGTTCGCCTTTGATTGTTTAAGCATAAAGAGTAGGAATATCGAAATGGCATGATTTTGGTAGAACAGGAGTTTCACGACGACGAATTCGATTCAAGGATGACTCTAAAAGATGCCAGATCAGATCAAAAATGATAAAAAGATAATTACATACTTGTATCTTGAGCTGATTGAACTATACTTAGAGCAGTTTGACTTAATTGAGCTTTGGCTAATTCCTCATCGTAAATACGGCTAACTGTTGTAGCTTCGGCAATTATACGTTGTTTTATATTAGATTTAAATTTAAGAAGTTCAATGTGTTCTGGCGAAGATAAATGACTTGAGTGATCACCTTTTCGTAACTTGAATTGGTCATTGATATCAGTATGAATAATAGCAGCGCAGAGACGGTTTTCACACCTTCTGTACTTGACCTTGGCACATGACTTGTTTAAATGATAAGCAAAACCATCACAGATAAGTACACGCTTGCCTTTATTGCTTTCTGAGAAGGTAATTGTAGGCGTGTTACTCATCATGAAATTTGAAACAAAATAAGACACAAATAAACAGAAATTTATGACAATAAATACAAGCTACTATATATGCACACTTTACTAATTAATCATTATTGTTAGATCCTCTTAACGTAACAGTCAAATTCATAGACAAATGAATAGGCTAATTAAGAGATAATTGCTCTTTAATCTTCAACCGATAGGATATCTTTTCAACGGCATTTTTAATATTTCTCTTTTCCTGCTTTTTTTTCTATTTTTTTTCATTCGACAATCTGCCTTTCGACATCTTGATTTTCGACATATTTCTTTCGACCTTTTCACTTTTGACCTTTAACCACTTATTCGGGGTGTGTGTGGGCTTGCGTGTATGAGTGTTCTTTTCTAGCACACACATGTCCACCATATTTCTGGATTTCATGCTGAAAAGAGAAGATTTAGTTGTTTTCTTACAAACAAAGTACCAAAAGGATCAAACCAAATACTTTTTTTTATTGTTTCTTCGTGTTTACACGAACATCGAAGGATGTACGTCTCTTCAACGATAATGGGTAGTGAGTATTTTTTATGCGAAAAAGGTCATTCTTGCTGTCTTTTTTCCATTTGATTCAAAACAAAACAAGAAACAAAAACTAAAATTCCACTAATTCGTCATTTTGTTTTTGTTCATTGATCAAGAGAATGGAACCGATATTAAAAAATAATAAATTGATTGGTCGTAAAAATGTCAAAAAAAGATATCGACGTGGAAAGTGATCAAAAATTATTTTAGTATATTCTGGATAGCAAGGGAGATGCTTTATTATATGGGATAATATTAACATTCTAACAGAAATCAAACGTAAGTCAAAAGATAAAGAAGAATTATAATATTGTTCGTCAAGATGGCCAATGCGATGTTAAACCACAATTGTTTTGACTTGCTTTCGACTTTGCTCCTAAACCTACCCTAACTTAAATACACACATGATGAAAACGATTCTCTTCTTCTTGTAGAAATTTTATCAACGAACAAATATTAAGATGGTTAAAACATAAGAAAATACAATTACGAGAGAAAGAGAAGGAAATGTTTATCTTCAGCATTATTGTTGATTCTCGAGTAGCTGCCTAGTTCGAATTCGAAAACAAGTGAAAATTTCTAAATCTCATCAGCATTCGTTTGGTAAAAGCAAAGGATAAAATTTTATTCGAATTCGCATTGACACGAGACTGTCATGTAGGGATGTGCAATTGCAATTCTTGACATTGGCTGGAACTAACCTAGAATTGGTCGAAATTGACTCCGGTTAAGGATAGAAAGTATGGGTTTCGCAGGCTGCTTCTTTACCAGTTACTCATTAACCGAATAACGGCAAAATTTTAAGTTGTAATCTTTCGTCAATGAAAGCCATTTTTGAGGAAGTAACGCTTTTTAAACAATTCCACTATAGGCAATCTCGTTATAGTTTACTTGACCGAAAAATGAGCTACACAATTTTGAGAAACTGAATGCAGATTCAAAATTTTCGACCCCGAAATCCTTTCATAGAACTTGATGAAAAAATCGTTATTTCCTCAAAAATGGTTTTTCCTGACTAAAGATTGAAGTACAGAATTTTGCTGTTATTCAATTACTGAACAGCTGTTAAAGTGACAGCCCGCGAAACAAAAACTTCCTACCCCTAGCCGAAGCCTGTTTTCACCAATTTCAAGTCTAGAATCGAAATTGAAATTGGTGCACCCTTAAATATAACTGGAAGCCCCAATAAACTTCGTTTTAGTGGGAAAAAAGCTTGTTAGCGCAGCCCCTTTGGGGCTGAAATGTAGAACTCACATATGCTCTCTTGACTCATTCAACTGATACAAAATGCATTAGCTGAAAAATCTCTCTTAGACTATAGTTGTTTTGCAGGAAAATCAATCGTAAAAGTAAGAATCTCTCTAATTTCGTACAGAATGTATTTTAAACTTTTTTCTATGGGCGCCCTATCTTTTATTTGCATTGTTGCTATTCGCTCATTATTTTTTTTATTTTTTTTAATTCATTTTTCTTAATTTATCATTCTTATTATAATAATCATTGAATTGATCGACAAATAAATGTGTTTTACATACCTATGATATCTACAGCAGACCTTACACACTATCATATATATTAATCAAGTCACAAATAATGATATTCATTATTTTTCAAAATTATAACTGAATCAATTTTCCAAAAAAAAACTCGAAAAAATTGAACACCTTTTATTATTGATTGTGAAGGTCTGTAATGGGGGGTGTCTGTAAGGAAGGGGGGGGGGGTATATGTAATATTCTCTTTCGTTGCTATGGCCTGTAATGGTGGGTGTCTGTAAGGGAAGGTGAGAGGTGGGAGCCGCGAAACCTCGAACTTAGAACTTACACTCACTATTTTCTTCGAAAATATATGTGAGTTCCACAAAACATTTTAAACTGTTCTTTAGAAATTGCTTTTGCACTCACATTATCGTGAGAACTTTCAAGAAAAAGGATATTGGATATGGTACCAGTTTCCGTCTAGTTGCAAGGGATCTTGAACTTTTCGACAATGACAAAGAATTAGTTTTTGAATTTTATTGCTAGCAAAATTTTTGATCGGGGCCAAAACAGGTCTAGTCATTACCTACTCCACTCTAAACGGGATAGCATCAAGAATTTGCTGGTAAAAAGTCATAATCTTCATGATAGCAGAAGCATCCCAATGAAAATTACAATAATGATATCATGTGTGTGAAAATGATAGCTACATATATTCAAAACAAACAGATGAAAAGCATGCAAACCAAGTATTGACTCGGCTGAAGGGTCAACACCGTGCGTGATGTCACTGTCACAGGACTCAAATAACAACACGATAACATTTCACATTGAACGATCGATTTTGAACCAATGTGAAAATTGTCAATGAAGCTCATTTTTAATATCACTTTGATGTATATTAGCAAGATGAATGAATAAATTTTGGACCATAGACAAACGTACACCATTACCGTATCGTTCATTTATTGCAAAATAAAAGTATTGTTCATTAATACGATCATGCTCCGACAATATTTCCGTGATGAGACCGCCTTGAGATTTATGTTCAGCAGCTAACTAAAGAAGGATCGTCTGATAATTAACAACAGGCGAATTACTCACTTTCCATTTTAGGTTGAAACGAAATTCGAATGATGTTACATTTGTTGGAAGATTAGTAAGTTGGTTTTCAGGATAACTAGGCAGTTCAGTTAAAACAAACTCCGAGTAGCCAATAATTGTCGGTATGATTATATTTGCTGAACTTAGTCGTTGAAGACGATCGATAGCTTCGAGTGCAAGAAGACCAGATGCTGTGTGATGGCCATGCGAATTACTGTTTGGAAGAATGACAAGCATTAAATAATAACCATTAGCACCATTACCATTTCTTTATTGTTCGCTGAAATTGTTCAATGATCCATTCCTTGTCCCATTGTTCCGGAAAAATTGGTTTCATCGTTCGACTATACTTCAAATCGGCCTGATCGAAAAAAAAGTATTTTCGAATACTCAATATTCGTCCGCTATCTAATAATTCCTGCTGACGTATACGTGACAAGTGTTTTCTACCAATAGCTTCTTCCGATAATTTTAGATTGTCATAGAGCGATTCCGATGGCCCTGCATGTGCAAAACCACCTTCACCATTTGTTACACACACGAGATCAACCGAAATGTGGAGTTTGTGTGTAAGAGCATGGATGAAACCACCAAAAAGGGTCTCATCATCAGGATGTGCAATGACAGCAAGCACAGCCGACACAGTATACAAAGAGATTGCCATAGTTTTTCTTGTGAAATTGTAATATTTACTGAAAACGTAACGTACATGTATATCTCTTTTCTTAAATGCCACACGTGCATAATCCGATCGTGCACTTTGCATACTCAACTGATCGATGGATAGATTAAATGCATCACGCATGCATTCGAAGATGTGTCGATACTGTCTTGAAGTTTGAATTAGATCTGCTAGTTATTAACAACTTTATTTAGCCGAAGCATACATCGATTCTGCACCGACTACTTCTTATTTTCGACTATTAAGAGAATTAAATTTAAGTAAAATTAAATTGCTTTTGAATTTTCGGTTGATTTGGACTTGACAATATTATTACTTTTCTATGAAACGATTAAATTTGATAGTTAAATTTTAAAGATTTCATCAATGAGAACGCCTATAGGAAATAAATCATTTTGAAAAATTTTAATAAAAAGCTTTCTTTTTTATTCAAGAAAAAATACTGTCATTCACAGAGGATGCAAGTTTTTGACCAGAGATGACATTTAAATTTAGTAGAGCTACTGCAAGTTGTAGAAACTCATAATGTATGAGCAAGGTCGTTGATTAAGGCTTAGGAAAGAAAAATTTCAATCGTAGTTAAAGCGAGGTTTCAAAGAGGTTCGTGAAGAGAAGTCGCTCACGAACACCTATCTTTCAAAGGGGTATTTTCTCAAACGCCATTTTCTGTATTTTCATTTTTGTATACAAATGTTTTGCATCTCAATTGGTTCGTCTTCATTCGATGTTTGATTTCATGTTGTAATACAATTAAATGGTGTGTTTAAATTTAATAAAAAGCCTCACAACATTCATAATGACAATTACGTCTGATGAACTGTATAAAATGCAGCTCGTTAAAAATAAATCAGAAGGTATACGTTTCATTCAAAGGACGGGGGCGTATAAGGGTCATTTTTGGGCCCTCGTCAATTTTGGTTGATTCATAGTTTACTAGATGCAGAATTTCACGAGGAATCATTTGGTATCAAAATAAAGCTATTTCAGAAGAGTCTAGATGGACTTTTGCTGAAAATACTAACATATATTTTGTACCATAAATCGATCATTCATACATGGACATGTGATCCATGTAAATTTTCCTATCTTAAGATATATCGAACCGAAAATTATGTCATTCGACTAATTACTCTAGAGTCTATCTCTGGTAAAATTTTCAGCTCAAACGGTTAAAGTGTTGANGAGAGGATGTGAGTGTATGGTATTGACAATAATTATATCCACATCCACGCCCAAAGAGAACACAATACTATATGCGATGACAGAAAAACTAAAAGTGCATATAATGTTTTCTTACTTTTGACTTTTTTGGTATTTTTATGCTATTGAACAAATTACAGCTACTCATTGATTATATGCAACATATTTAAGTGAAAAGAACAAATCAAATAACTTCTGTGCTGATCTTGAGTTTTAGGTCATTCTGTATACTTTTTTGCCGTTGCATAATCATATGAGTTATTAAAATAAATAAAACATCAGACTATAATGACATGAATATTTTTGACTTAATATTATTTGTTTAACTGTCAAAATCAAATTTACATAAACATAATCAATAGAGAATGAACTAGATTTTATTCAGATAAAAAATTCTATAGAACAAGTTATTTATCTTGTGTTGATATTTGCATTATATTTTTTTCTTGTGACATTGTCATAGCTTCCATATAACGTCGGTCTGCTTGTAAACAAGTTGCTTGTTGTTTTCTACTTCAGATTTCAAATCAGTACTATTTAATGAATTTTGTTCATAGCTTTGTTTCATGTCAACTATTGATGATACTGAACATTTCATTTTATGTTTATATTTTGGCTTAATATTACAAGATTTTTCACATAGATTAAAATCTTCACATACTGTACAATAATAAAAAAATGCCACATTTTTGTTGACATCTATTATAATTATATGTAAATTTCTCTGCTATTGATATATGTAATTCATATAATAAAGCCATGGTTGAAAATTTTGCACTACGTACTGACTAGAATTCATAATTTTTCTCACAAGCATAATTTAAAAATGCATTTTGTGTATTCATTAGATCACATTGAGTTAGAGCATCAGTATCATTGACTGTTGGATAGGACTTTATTTGAGTACGAAGACGAATAACAAAAAATGCCTGAGAAATTATATAGATGCAAGTTGTAAGTATTAAAATTTGTAGAAAAGAGAGGGTATTCAAAATCAGCTTAATCCTTTTTTTGGGGGGATAGTTATAGTTAGTTAGCGTATATCAGAAGCTGAAGAACTATTTTGTCTAGGCGATCTTCTGACCAGAGCTACAGCTAGTATGAGATAAAATATTGAGCTAACATATCTACCCCTTAGACAGTATCTCGTAAAGCGAGGTATAAATATTCTTTATCTTCTTTTTCCAAATTTGTTTCACAAACATAGCTATGAAGTTTGGTGTTTGTTGCCACTTCATTAGTAGTAATATAAATCCTTGTTTACTTTCAAATTAAGTTCAGAATAGACAAAATCCACCTTTAAAAATGTTCTTTTGTTTTTATAACTTACTTCTTTTTACTTTGCCATAGTTGAAAATATTATAGATAGTAAATCAGTACAATTTGACATTTGATTTGCTTTTTTCTTCAAATTTTTCTTTTCATATGTATTTACATTTACAAGAAATCTAAATTAAATTAAAATATTCATATTGTAAGTAAAATCAAAATTTGGAATAGTGACTATGAAAGTTCGACTAGAGAAATAGATGCATCCGATAGAATAAAACATTCATATCACTAAACAATTTTAATCTATACACTTGTTGTTACAATAGAAACTGTGGCTACTAAATAGATTATATAATTTCTACTTACTTCTGTTGGATCTTCTGATTCAGAGAAATCATCGAAGTCTTCATCTTTCATAGCTTGTGCTGTTTCAACTTCTTGTTTTCTTCGATCTTCTTGGTCAAGTTCTAAAATATAATTAAGTAAAATTCAATTTTTATTATCAATAATAAAACATATTTTCAATACTTTCTTCAATGGTAATCGGCCAAAATTCATGATCGAAATATGGGATGTCAAGAACTGTTTGTACTTGATTATCCAAACAATTTTTCATAATATCCTAAATTAATAATATTCGTATAAAAGTATCAATAAATATATTCATGAAAAGACTTTTCGATATTTATTAATCTTAAGTTTTTTTCTGGAAAATAAAAAAGAGTCGAAAATAGTTTATTTGAATGTGTATCTTAGACATCATCGCCTGGTTGAGTCATTTTTTTCTAAATTCTTGCTTTTTATGCGAAGAAATCGAACGACAAGTGCAATACCATGAAAAAAATGGCTATCTATTTATCGTGATACTCTCTTATGTAATAATTAATTCAAAAAATAGACACTGCAATTTTACATGTTGTTTGAAACAAAACAAAATGAGGTTTCTTCGAGTAAAGGAGAAACGCTTTTTTAACTCAATGCATTTTCGATAATCAAATATTTTATATATAGCTTTTATCTTATAATCAATAACAAGGCGTTCTGCAATTTCATTATCAAGCATCTTTCTACACCAATCCTGTAGGCGTTTTAGTTTCGGCAAAAGTTGTTCAGGTGGACGACAACGAAATATATAATTAACACCTTCACTTGCTGAACAAGCCCATATATGAGCATACATATATCCATGTTGTTTAGCATAATCCAAATAACCGATTAAAATTTCATGATAAACATCTTGACGATAAAGTTTCGGTCGAAAGAAATGTACTGTATTCAAATATGATATATATATAAACGCGATATGTATTTGGTACAGGATAACATTCAGCATATTCTTGTGTATACATACCAAAGAAAACAACATCAACACTTTCAATTTCTTGAAAAGCAAGTATAACTTTAGTTCGATAGGGATAATTATTATCTGCTACTTGATTTAGATAACATTTTTTTAATTGTGGTTTTATTTCACATATTTTATCACTAGAATATAATACACGAATTGTAACACGACTTTTATGACAATATTTATCCAGTAAAAATTGATTAACATGCTCTTCTAATCTTGATGATAAATCAGTTACTGGTAATTGTTGTACTATGTAGCGAATTTCTTTACATTTTATATTATATTCACGTATACATGTATTACATATAAAACGTTCCGATCATATTTGATCTAAATGTAATGTATATACTTGATGCCAACGACGTGTACAAACAATACAATCAATCATTATTTCAGGTTCTTGTATATCATTTTTAGCCAATAGAAATAATATTTTTGGTATTTCAACTAATGTTTGAGTTGGATCATCACCGATCAATATTGATTCACTTTTAATTGAATGAAAACAATTAGCACAAAATGTATATTTACCACTTGATAGATTAAATCGCGATGGCTCAGAATTGCTATAATAATAATAATAACAACCATAAGATGGGATTTCCCAACATTGCTGCTTTCCATAACATAGCATAAGTTTTGGTAAATATGCATATTGACGACCACAACAATAACCTAATTCTTGTACAACACGATCAATAGATTCAACAAACAGTTTTTCAAGTTTTGTACACATTTTATAGACACGCAATGGTTTATTATTATAAAGCCGTGCATCATCACTGAATTGTAATGGATTTTTATATTCTCCACGTAATAATTTATTATGCATGGTTGATACATTCATTGGATGTTTAATTATTGTTGGATAATCAAGTATATTAAGTGTAACAGGATCGACCGGTTGACGAAAAATTGTACAGGATGTTTAAGTAATTTTTTACTTGATGCATCAATTTGCTCTGTTGTTGCTGCTTTCATATCACCATTAGTCAACGATTGTGAATGAGATTCAATCATCACAGTTGTTGATGATGAATTTGTTGAAAAATGGAAAGAATGATCTTTTGTGTCGTTTTTTATCATTGAAAATCAAGAAACCTAAATTAAAAGACATTAGTAGTAGATTATTATAATTCATATTGCATGAGTAGAATATTTTAGAGTAGATGTGAATGAATAGAAGATCTTTACAATTGTGAAGTTTATTTGCCTACGATAGTATTTCAACAACAACTTGATAAGCTTTGCCCAATAAGGTGACTAGGACCAGTGAATTGGATATTTCGTTGAGAAAAAGTATTCTATTAACATGTGTTGTTTAGAGTCGTGTCGAGACCTACTTGAGACATGAACAATTTTATTGAAATACGATGTGAGGCGAATCGGCTCTGAAAATAGCTCGAATCTGCACTTATCATGTTTTTGCGTTTTGTAAGAGTTTCGAACCATACTATTCTTTCCTTTTTCGTAATTCTAGAAGAGATTAGGCAACTCCTTTCTCGATTTTTCGAATTTTTCAATAAAAACGCAGACCGTTTAAGGAAATGTAAACTAGCGTCTAGTATATGAAAAAAGGCTAACTCATGACTATTCTTCGAGTGAAAATCAAAAAGAATATTTATCAGAAGGGAGGTTTTAAAAGAAATACTTAAGTTCAAAATCAGATAAACATGCAAAGTCTATCTCATTTTCTATTGTGGGTCTGATTAAATTTCTTTTGTCAAGCCTAACTTAAATTTCATTTACATGGTATTTTACTTCGAATTGTTTTTTTTATTGAAAAGTTTACTTTTTGAAATGTGTTTCGACAAAGCTAATATTGACAATTTTAATATTACCTAGAAAAGAAAAATAAATTCTTTAGTTTCATATATTGCTTATGAAACCGTTTTAGACATCGTACAATAATAATAAAAAACTTAAATAAATTAGAGTTACACTACCAAATGATTCAATTTATACTTTGTACAATTTTCAACTCGCATTTCAACTAATTTTTTTATTAGGCTAATTTTGACGAACTTAGAGAAAGCCACCTATGCCTGTCAATATGATGCTGTATTTATGTTCTGCAGATTTCTAGTCATACATTTCCTTCGTTTACACATCTTTATATAACAAAGATTGATCATGCATCAGTCAACAGAAACAAAGAAGCAACAGTCACGCAATACAACAACGAACATCAGTCACAAGATCAGTTTGTGAACACACACATATAGAGCGAAGAGAATATTGTACATGAAGTATAGTTTAACGGCAAAAACCATTACACTAATGACTAAGATTCATGTACACGATAACAAAAAGTGCTAATATCTTATTCCTCAAAAAACAAATTTCTCTTCCAGGAGAAATTGCAANGCTAACATATCTACCCCTTAGACAGTATCTCGTAAAGCGAGGTATAAATATTCTTTATCTTCTTTTTCCAAATTTGTTTCACAAACATAGCTATGAAGTTTGGTGTTTGTTGCCACTTCATTAGTAGTAATATAAATCCTTGTTTACTTTCAAATTAAGTTCAGAATAGACAAAATCCACCTTTAAAAATATTCTTTTGTTTTTATAACTTACTTCTTTGTACTTTGCCATAGTTGAAACTATTATAGATAGTAAATTAGTACAATTTGACATTTGATTTGCTTTTTTCTTCAAATTTTTCTTTTCATATGTATTTACATTTACCAGAAATCTAAATTAAATTAAAATATTCATATTGTAAGTGAAATCAAAATTTGGAATAGTGACTATGAAAGTTCGACTAGAGAAATAGATGCATCCGATAGAATAAAACATTCATATCACTAAACAATTTTAATATATACACTTGTTGTTACAATAGAAACTGTGGCTACTAAATAGATTATATAATTTCTACTTACTTCTGTTGGATCTTCTGATTCAAAGGAATCATTGAAGTCTTCATCTTTCATAGTTTGTGCTGTTTCAACTTCTTGTTTTCTTCGATCTTCTTGGTCAAGTTCAAAAAAATAATTAAATAAAATTAGATTTTTATTATCAATAATAAAACATACTTTCAATACTTTCTTCAATGGTAATCGGCCAAAATTCATTATCGAAATATGGAATGTCAAAAACTGTTTGTACTTGATTATCCAAACAATCTTTCATAATATCCTAAATTAATAATATTCGTATAAAAGTATCAATAAATATATTCATGAAAAGACTTTTCGATATTTATTAATCTTAAGCTTTTTTTTTTTGGAAAATAAAAAAGAGTCGAAAATAGTTTATTTGAATGTGTATCTTAGACAGCATCACCTGGTTGAGTCATTTTTTTTCTAAATTCTTGCTTTTTATGCGAAGAAATCGAACGACAAGTTCAATACCATGAAAAAAGCGGTTATCTATTTATCACGATACTCTCTTATATAATAATTAATTCAAAAAAAAATAGACACTGCAATTTTACATGTTGTTTGAAACAGAACAAAATGAAGTTTCTTCGAGTAAAGGAGAAACGCTTTTTTAACTCAATGCATTTTCGATAATCAAATATTTTATATATAGTTTTTACCTAATAATCAATAACAAGGCGTTCTGCAATTGCTTTATCAAGCATCTTTCTACACCAATCCTGTAGGCGTTTTAGCTTCGATAAAAGTTGTTCAGGTGGACGACAACAAAATATATAATCAACACCTTCATTTGCTGGACAATCCCATATATGAGCATACATATATCCATGTTGTTTAACATTATCCAAATAACCAATTAAAATTTCATGATAAACATGTTGATGATAAAGTTTCGGTCGAAAGAAATGTACTGTATCCAAATATGATATATATATATAAACGCGATATGTATTTGGTACAGGACAACATTCAGCATATTCTTGTGTATACATACCAAAGAAAACAACATCAACATTTTCAATTTTTTGAAAAGCAAATATAACTTTTGTTCGATACGGATGATTATTATCTGCTACTTGATTTTGATAATATTTTTTTAAATTGTGGTTTTATTTCACATATTTTATCACTAGAATATAATGCACGAATTGTAACACGACTTTTACGACAATATTTATTCAGTAAAAATTGATTCACATGCTATTCTAATCTTGATGATAAATCAGTTACTGGGAATTGTTGTACTATATAACGATTTTCTTTACATTTTATATTATATTCACGTATACATGTATTACATATAAAACCTTCAGGTCATATTTTATCTAAATGTAATACATATACTTGATGCCAACGACGTGTACAAACAATACAAACAATCATTATTTCAGGTTCTCGTATATCATTTTAAGCTAATAGAAATATTTGTTTTGGTATTTCAACTATTGTTTGAGTTGAATCATCACCGATCAATATTGATTCACTTTTAATTGAATGAAAACAATTAGCACAAAATGTATATTTACCACTTGTTAGATTAAATCGTGATGGCTCAGAATTGCTATAATAATAATAATAACAACCATAAGATGGGATTTTCCAACATTGTTGCTTTCCATAACATAGCATAAGTTTTGGTAAATATGCAAATTGACGATCACAACAATAACCTAGTTCTTGTACAACACGATCAATAGATTCATCAAACAGTTTTGCAAGTTTTGTACACATTTTATAGACACGCAATGCTCTATTATTATAAAGCCATGCATCATCACAGAATTGTAATGGATTTTTATATTCTCCACGTAATAATTTATTATGCATGGTTGATATATTCATTATATGTTTATTTATTGTTGGATAATCAAGTATATTAAGTGCAACAGGATCGACCGGTTGACGAAAAATTGTACAGGATGTTTAAGAAATTATTTATTTGATGTATCAATTTGTCCTGTTGTTGCTGCTTTCATATCATCATTGGCCAACGATTNTTGCCATAGACGATCCATATGTTTATCGTGAATTGGTTGAATTTGATCGACACGAAACATGGTATGTGATGTAAATAGAATTTCGTCTTCGCCTTCTCCGAAGCAGCTGACTTCGTGAACATCTGCAAATGGAATTTTTGATTTGGCACATATTACGGGATCGATAGTCATAATAAAGAGAATGCCAACTGTATTTGAATCCCTATGTGCTGCTGGTATTGCAAAAGTTTCAAGTGAAACTTTTTTATTGCGACTTGTCGAAAGGAAATTATTGAAGGATATTAATCGACCGAAGCTTTTTTTCATTTTTTCAAAGTCTTCCACAGCTAAACCTTGACCACGGTATAATGTTCGAGTCGGAATCACATTTTCTAATTGTTGTTTATCATATAAATTTTGAATATCTTGATGTAAGTGGCGAATAAAAAAGCCCATCTTGACTATTATATCGGCATCCATGAGTCGAAGTGCACGATTAAGCATAGAATAGATAAAAGTTTCGCCGGTATACCACCAAATTGGTGAGTGATCACTATATTCACATTCCAATTCCTCAATCTGACATTTAGGTATTTTATCTTGTTCTCGACAGTATGCAGCAAGTTCTTGAATTGATTTTTTGTTGTCATCTTCAATTTCTAAAAGCACTTCTTTTAATAATTTTGTGTACATAAATGATGGATCAATTACCTCAAAACTGATCGAGGTCATAGCTCCATCACATTGTCGACAATCAATTTTTAATTCTTTACAAATGAATTCAATTTTTGTGTAAACACCTTTAATCTTTGGCACTTTATTAGCCCATTGCTCATGATAAGATTGATCGCCGCAGAAAACATAAACGGAATCTAATTGCGGTGTTGCTTCAATATCAGATATTATTTTTTGTCCAAGTGAACCTGACACGATCATAAATGCTCTTTCTTTTGTAATACCACTAAGATAATCGAAACATTCTTGAGTATTCGTAAATGTTGTGATTGATGCTACAATTGATCGCAAGTGTTTTAATGAATTTTGAAAATCTTCCTTTGATTCATCCATATTGGCATCAAGCCAGACGAGAAGAAAATTTTGAATAATTCGACAAGCAGGTTGAGGAGGCACAGCATTTGTGCTTGTCATTGTTGTTGGTATTGCTGTGACTGCTACCAATGATTATGCTTTTTTCTTTGATTTATGTGTCGTAGATGATGAAGATGATCCATTAGTAGATCATTTTGAGTATTGGGTTTTTTCCATTCACTTGATAATGTTGACGATAATGATGGTGTTGCATTTGTCGTCGATGAATAAATAAACAAAAATGTACGTATACTAGTTGGATGATGATGAAAAGAAAGATCGAATACAAATAGAATCCATCTGTGCCGATATTAATGACACTTCCCGCCGATCTTTCTTTCCTCTCTCCTCTTTATCTTGTCTGTATTTTTATTTCCTGTGCTAACCTCTCTTCATTATTTTTCTCTATATGTATTTCTCTCTTTCTTCATTTCTTCTTCATTAGCGTGTGTTGTATATGAGGTAGTGACATTCTGGATATGTGAAGTAGTTAATAAACATTATTGGGGGTGACGATTGTTAAGATCAAACTTAACGTTATATATTTTTCTTTTGAGTTCTTGTTTTTAGATAAAATATACGCTCATCATTTTTACAAAAAAAGACAGAGAAAATGAAAAAACCGTGTTCCATAGACGATAAAAAGGAATAAAGAAAAGAGACAGAAAGACAAAGAAAATACATAATACTAGGAGGATTAGCCACTAACGGAGTTATGACAATTGTGTGTAAGAAAATTATGAGAACAACAATTATGTACACATCAATTATATGCAAAACCTCAAGACTTCGAAAAAATGAATTAATCATTGTACTACTAGATATTGCTTATACATGATAAAGATATGACTTTATCATTTTTGTAAACATGTTGAACACAAGTGACGGTTTATTTAAGTTTCACTAATTTTATACAAAATAAAAAGAGTATGTAAATGAAATTACTATCGGAATCTCGAAAAAAGTCTCAAAATCATAAACCTCAAAAATGGAAAATCTTTAAAATGACAATTTTGAAGATGCAAAATATTGGAATGTTAAACAAGAACAGATCGACTTATATCTCTTTAATAAAAATCAACCTGTTGATCCGAACCCTTGCTTTTCAGCAATCGATTATCTGTCGATAGTTTTAATTAAATTGAATAAAATATAGATGTGCTTAAATAAAAATAATTGAAAATGAACGCAGATATATTTTTGCCGACACGTTTCATGTTTACTTTATTTAGAAATTAAAACATTCTTCAGGGCTCTGCATTATAATAAAAATAAGCACAAAAATGTGAAATTAACCCTTTGGAGCCGGTGGGACAAGGGTTGTCCCACCTGTTTTTCAATAGAGAGAAAGTTGTTTTATTTAGATTCAAACGTTAGGCCTGGAAGGTCATCAAGGTTATATCTTACTTCACTTGTCATCCCATGCACGTCTTTTCTTTCTTTCTGTCGTATAGGTCCTTCTCAGAGATTCTTTTTTCTTTCTACTACTGTACAGTGACCTCATTATTTCTCTCTCTTCTTCTAATATATTGTTTTTCGAGAATATCCCTATACTTTCTATTGCTCTTGTATATATACCTGCTTCTATTCTCCTTAATGCAATTACATTGTTCTTGGTAGTGCAATAGAATTATCGTTTTCTTTCACTATTTTTATTGTTTATTCAATATACTTTGTTATTTTTTCGCTCAAAGGGAATTAAAACGACTTGTATATTTGACTTCTTTCTATTTTGGTTATAATTAAAACTAAACAAATGGAAGTCTATGAAAATACTTTTTATTTTAACAAGTCAACAGGATTGTTTTATTTCAATAGATAATAGTGAATTAGAATAATAATGAACAAGAATAAATAATAAATTTTTGGTATTTTTGTATTTTTTTATTATTTTTT